CTCCCCGCTTATGCAAATGAAGCCCGGGAAATTCAAATCCCGGGCTTCATTTGCAAGTGCGGTATGCCTACATTACCCCGCTAGTTCAAACTAGCGGAGTAGTGTAGACATACCCTTAGAGCTATTGTTTCATTTCATCTGCAGATTTAAGATGACAGCATAGCACCGGTGGCCTGAATTCAGAATCACTTCACAACCCAAAAGAACAGAAACATAGGCAACCATATTCTGACCTAAGTTAATCACTTAAATCCAAAATTAGGCATCTAAACAAGTGGCCTGATTGACAGAGATGCTGAGTAGCCACAGCTTTCAGCTATTCCATAGAGATCTAGGTGTGGAAGAACTTCTTAGGGTCTGGCCACTTATTTAGCTGCCTAAGTTTGCAAATTTGTTCACAATTTCTTTAAATGTATGTTTGGATTCTGAAGGAAACTGCATATAACCAAATTTGTGACAAATATCCTAAATCTGCGCGCTAATATGGTCTTTCTGAATGGCATTGTTCTAATGGACCTTGCAGTTTGTTAAATGATTATAAAAATTACATTAAACATACACAGTACTATGTTAATTTCTCAGTCTTAAAAGCTACATAAACCTTCAGCCTTACAGACTGCTCAATAATTATCAAATTTGAGGTGCTAAATGTCTATCAAACACCACTGAACACTGTTTTGGGAAGATGGTGTATATGGACTTCTTTTCTAACACAAAACTCAATCAATATTTTAATTTTTTAAACCAAATTGTTAAAAGTTCTGTAATTGGCCATTAAACTCATCTACTTCTAGCCTGCAGCTAGTGTATATTTAAACACTACAGGACCCTAAAAATAGAAACCTATATTTTTTATTATAGTATTAATTATTATTATTATTATTATAAAGTCATGATGCAGCTTTAATTATGGCTTTAGAGATTTATAACCACTATCTTCTTGTGTATTTGATCTTAAAATTAAGAGTTTTATTATTCAAGTTACAGAAAATCATGTTACAACTATTGATATCTGCAGGTTCACCCTAGAATCGGGCCTCCTCTACTAGTATACTTGATTAGAGATTGAAATGTCAATCAACAATATTACACTCTAAGAAATAATGTTAATGACTAAAAATGCACCTTAATTTGTACTTTTTTCATCTGATGAACAGTTGAAATTAACTAATATCCATAATGACTGACAAACTGGCATTTTTTCAAAGTTCTTGTTCTAAATGCATAATAACTATTAAATTTCTTTAATTATTTGTATTCCCAAAAGCAATCAAACACCAAATAACAATTTAAACAACAAATTTTTGAAAGCTTTTTTTCATTTAAGTTTCTGAAGCTTGTTAAAACATGCAGATATAAAGAATTTTTTTAAAGTACACTTTATGCCTGTGCAATGGCACAAT